CCATCATTGTTGTTTGGCAGGTCCGGGCTGGGGATTCGAACCCGCCACCTTAGGTGTACGTGGCTGGCGCCTTAGCTGGTTGAGCTATAGGCGCCGAGCCCAAAGTCGGGACTTTTTAAAAACGCGGCGGGACGCGGGACAAATTGTTAAAAAGCGGGACGTCTGGTCACCCTATCTTAAAGAGGTGGTTTTTTCCATCCCTATTTCAAAGATGAGGAATTAGAGGCTCAGAGAGGTCCGGCAACCTGTCCAAGATCACAATGCTAGGAATGGATGGGGCAGGAATTCAAACTCAAGGAAGCAGATTTCAGATCTGTGCCCCACACCTCTTGCAGGAATTGGTTCCCAGGCAGCGAAACTCTTTAAAGCCAGTCCCAGCTGCCCGAAATTCAACTGTAGAGAGCTGGCTCTCAGCCCCTTTACCGGCTCTCTTCTTTTCTCCCAGCCTCACCCTGCCACCCCCATTTCCCTCCCTTACCCTGGGGCCCTACTCTTTTCCCCAAACCTGCTTTGCCACAATTCCTTCCAGGTTCAGTTGTCTGTAAAATGGGGATAATAATAGTGCCTGGCTCAAAGTAGTGTTGTGAGGGCCAGAGGAGATGCTCAGGGTAAAGTGCTTAGAGCCCAGCATACGGTAGATTCTCAGTAAATATTAGCCAACATCATCACCACTGTCATTTTAGTAATGTCTCTGATGGCCTGTGAATTAGGCTGACTGGTAGCATTATCTGTATTTGATGGTTGAGGAAACTGAGGTTAAGGGCGGAGTAGCAGTTGTCCAGGGTCACTCAGCTAGGAAGTAGATTTCAACTTAATCGGGCCTTCCTGACTGACCTGATTTCAGAGCTCATTAACTTCTGCTACTCTTTTCTAGGCAGATGAGTGAATCACAATCACTATGTATTAATTACCTTCTTCTACATACCAAGCCAGACCCTAGATGCTGAGGGGCATTCAAAGAGAGATCTGACCTAGACTTTTTTTTTTTTTGCTGTTTTTGGCTGGGGCTGGGTTTGAACCTGCCACTCCGGCATATGAGGCCAGTGCCCTACTCCTTCTTGAGCCACAGGCGCCGCCCCTGACCTAGACTTTTGAGGGAGCTTAGAACCTAACTGATAAACAAGGTATGAAAACAAAGCCTTTTTTGTTGAGGCAGAATACAGAATGGATCTAAAGAGGCCAAGAGGTACTCTGGCCGAGAGAGGAAGCAGGCAGGGAAGACTTCCTGGAGGAGTTGAGGTTTAAGTTGAGCCTCAAAGGATCAGTGAGATATGAAGGCTAGAGTAAAGGGGTCTAGGCACTGGAAGTCAGAGATGTAACAACAGTGCCCACTCTGGTGGCTTCTTTTGAACCAGAGTCTGTTCTGAAAGCTTTATATGCATTATTCCATGAGATTTTTGCCATGATTCCATGATGTAAGTGTTATTTGGATGAGAAAATCAAGGCTCATGGAGTTTATAAAACTTGCCTGGCTCAGATTGCTAGAAAAGTGGCAGGGCCTGAATGTGAGTCTTGGGCTGTTGGTTCAAACAGTGGCGGCTCTCAATCATCATGCACTGTTGCCACTTTATCAGCCAATGATCTGATATGGTATTAAGCTGTGGACTGACTCTGGAGGGCTTTGAGTCCCAGGGCTGAGACTTGCATAAAAATCACACAGCACTGGCAGTAACTGGCATAGCTGGAATTCTAGCAGCAGCTTCCAGCAGTTGTGCCACTCACTGCCCAAAGTCACTTCTCAGAGCCTCTCTACACTGCAGAGATGAGAAATGTAAATGGATTATCAGCAATGAAGGTTTTTGAATGAGGCAGGCTCTTGTGACAAAACGATTGTTGAGGAGAAACCAAGAGATGTTCAAATATTTACTGAGTGTTGGGTCCTAGGAATACAACTGTGAAGAGGGCAGCGTTCTGCACTCTGGACCCTCACCCCTGCTGTGCTTGTAAGGGGCAGGGCACCACGTTGGTAGTGTGGGGGAGGAACACTTTACTGGAACAAACAAGCGCACTGAGCTGGGCTGTTCCAGATTGGACTGCCAGGTTTTGAATCAGGAAATCTTTATGATCTTGGGCAAGTTAGCCAGCCTCTCAGACTCTCCCTCTTTAACACCCGGGTTATCTTCCTCTTCCCAGGATTGTTGGAATAAATTAAATAAAAGAACACATGTAATGATCTAGCAGGGTGCTTGTATGCACTGAATTAGTTTTCCCTAGGAAGAGGTATAAACGTTAGGCTCCGCCCTTACCTCTCCTCCCTCCCCAAGAAAGGGAACAGGTTCCCGGCCTTCATTTTAGCAGGAGGAGGTATATAAATGCACATGTGCTAACTAAACACCAAAGCAAACTAACAAAAGCCTCTGTGGCCAGTGGAATGCGCTGCTGGGTCTGAGCTCTGGTCAGGGTTCCACATCACAATGTTTCCCCGGACCCCCAGGGAACCTGGGCCCAGTTCTCAGCGTATCTGCTCTGCTCTGACCGCCTCTGCACTACACAGCCTGGAACCACTCGCATCTTAGTTTCCCAGTCTGCTAGCGCCTGGGGACGCTCGCCAACACTGACAGCAAGTGTGGCTGCCCCTTTAAGGAGTGAAGCTGGAGTGGCAATAGCCGCCTCGGGAACTCTCCTTTCCGGGGGGTGGAGCCTGTACAAGTTGCAACAGCCAACTGGAGCGCTGCATTTTCCGCGGGAGATCTGAATTTCGCGGCACGCAGTTTGGCGCTAAAAAAAAAAAAAAAAAAAAAAAAAGAAGAAGAAGAAAAAGAGGCAGAGAAAGCCTCAGAGACTAGATAGCGCGCCGAGAGGGAGCCGGTGCATTCGAGACCCCCTCCCTCATCCGAGCACACCCGAGCCTCCTCTGAGCTTGCAAACACGCCGGAGACCCCTCCCCAGGGCGGGCCAGACCCCAGCCACCGAGGCTGCGGGGGCGTGGGACCGTCCCAAGTGGCGGCCGCCCTTGGGGCGGGACACCCCCTGGCAGTACCGCCACCGCAGCCGCTGGGCTATCTCCAAGCTGCGATCTCCAAGCGCTGCTCGGCTAGGCCCCGGGCCAGCAGGGGAGGGTCCAGCCTTACCCCGTAGGCGACCATTGGAGGCTTCCCCGGGCCTCCGCGCCATGCCGCGGGCCGTGTAAGCTAGCTGCTGCAGGCTTCGGAGCCCGCAGGTGTCCGCGGGAGCGCCTGGCCCTGTTGGGGAGGGGGCGCCATACCCGCCATGCTGCGAGGGCCTCGGGTCCTGGTACCGGCTGGTGGGCAGCCCCCCAAGGGGTTGCCCTCGATGAGCCCCACCGAGCTGTGGTCGCCGGGCCTCAGCAGCCCCCAGCTCTGCCCGACCACCACCACCTACTACACCGCGCTGTACCCGCAGACTGTGCCTCCCGCCGCAGCGCCGGGCACCTGCCTCGACGCCACTCCCCACGGACCAGAGAGTCAAGTTGTGCGATGCGTGCCAGCAGGCCGGCTGCCGGTAATGCTGGGAACCTCTACCGCATCCCCCTATGCTTTTCCGGGTATGGGAAAGGAGGGAGGGGCGCCTGACATCCAGTTTTAATGAAGCAGGTAGAGTTTTAGTGAGGGGGAAAATGGGCTTTCAGTTTCCAAAACAACCTACTCTCCCCCCGCCCCGACCCCCATATCAGAGGAGTACTCTGTGAAGTACTCAGTGACGAGTAGAAGACCCCTTTATTTTCAAACTTTGGATAAAATAATCTCATCCACTGTAATGGAATGGAATGAGCACTGGATTGGGAGTCTGGATACCCAATCTACTGTCCGCAGTGCACTATGTGACCTTGGGGAAGTCCATGTAGCCAATACTGCTGTCATTCATTCATTCACTGATTGCTTGTTTGGACACCTGCTATTATCCAGGCATAGAGATTGGCCTGGGGATACTGTGGGACTTAAAGAGAGATGGTTCTAGTGGGTCTCTCAGGTCTAGTCTGGCTTGGACAGACTCCAAATGACCAATTCCTCCCAGAGTATCTATCAGACTCAGGTCTTATCCCAGCCCAGTTTCCTTCCCGGATGGACAGCCAGTAGCAAATACAAATGTGAGCAGTCCCCTGGGATTCTGTTCAGATTGACTGTTTCCTCCTCAAGCCCCCTAGGCCTGTTACCAGAGAGACCCCCAAATGTGGTGACAACCTGTTGCCTACCTTGGCACTGCATGTGTTTTATGGGAGTGGAATTCTTGGAGCCCAGATGAACCGAAACTACCTTAGGATGGGGGTGGAGTGGGAAAAGCCCTAGGGGAGTGGGGGTGGGAAGGCTGCACAGAACCTGGTTTCTGGTCCTGACTCTGCCACTAATTCACTCTGTGTGTCCTACAACAAGGCTTGGTCCCAGTGTGCGCCTCAGTTTCCCTGTGCATGGGATGGCTGTGGGGCTAGCTCATCTTGGTCACTTCCAGCTGCAGGTCTTAGGTTTTGGAACCAGACTCCAGGACGGGGAGATGGGAGTGTTGCTGGTTTGCTTAGTTGTAGATGTGCTGAATAAGTTTGGGTATATGCATAAGACCACCTCTCCCCCTCTCCTACCCCAGAGGCATCTAGTCAGGTCTGTGCCAGTCAGCAGCACAGATCCTTAGGCTTCTCTGGATGCCGGCAATGCCCTCACACTGTGCCTCTGGAATCAGACTTTGCCCATGTTGGAAGCTTTAACCTTCCCAGAGACCTTCCTGCACATTATTTCCAAGTAGGTGGGCAGTAGCAGTAGTGCGATTATTCCCATTTTACAGGTCAACCAATCAAGGATAACTGCGACTGGGCATCTTGTATTCAGCATTTTAAAGCCTAAAACCTTTTTGTAGCTTGTAGGTAGCATTAGCAATTCCATGTTACAGGGGGAAACTGAGGCTCAGAGAGGGTATGTGACCTAAAGTTAGACAGGGAGATGAGATGCAGTGCCTGACCCACAAGGCAAGTGGTCAGTAGTCTCTTCCCTACGCAGATTTGACTTTCCCCAATACTAACTGACTTAGAAGCTGGGTGGCCCTAGGGAAGAGGGCTCGGGTGCTGGGCCCAGCCTCTCTGGCCAGCTGTTTCCAGACATGAAGTTTCAGTAACAGCTGTGGTTTTGAACTGCTTTGAACCCTCCCAGAGGAGCTCAAGTGCATCTGTTAAAACCTCCCTCCCAGAGGAGCTCAGTGATCTTAGCAAGAATGGCTCTCTTTTACTGAATGTATCTCGTGTGCTGGGCACTGCTTGGAACCCTTCACATTCATTATCTTGGTCAAGATGTCCAGGATGGGACATCTTGCAGATGAGAAAACTGAGCAGACAAGTGAAGTCACTTGCCCAGGTCACAAGCCAAGAAGTCAGGGAGTCTTCCTTTACTAGACTTGCCAGGCTCAGAGTCCCCTCTCCTGTCAGTCTCAGATGCCCAAGGCCCATCCTGTGGACAGACCTGCCCTCTGCTTACTCATTTTACAAGGGTGTGGCCTGGAGCAGCCCCAAACCCAACCCTGGGTGTGGCTGCTTGGTTTGTGGTCAGGCTGCAAAGTGCAGGGTGAGCAGGATTTGTTGGGGGAGCTGCTGTTTAAAGGGACCTCAGGCACTGTTCAGGGGTGACAGCCACGTTCAATGGCAGAGCGAAGGCCAGAACCCATGTCTCCTCTCTCCCTATTCAGTACTCTTTCTACCAGCCTATGGGGAAGGCTCAAAGGATGATCCTTTGTTAAGTCCCTGCTCTGGCCAGGCAGGTTGCATTATTCTGTTTCATCCCTGCAAGAACATGCAAAGATAGTGCAATTCAGCACGGTTTTCCTCTCCTTTAATTTGTCTATATTTTCCAAATTTCCTCTTGAGAACCATGAAAGAAAAGACACTTTTTTTTTGAGACAGAGTCTCAAGCTGTTGCCCTGGGTAGAGTGCTGTGGTGTCACGGCTTACAGCAACCTCAAACTCTTGGGCGTAAGCGATTCTCTTGCCTCAACCTCCCAAGTAGCTGGGACTACAGGCGCCCATCGCAACACCCGGCCATTTTTTTGTTGTTGTTGTTGCAGTTGTCGTTTTAGCTGGCCCAGGTTTGAACCTGCCACCTTCAGTGTATGTGGCTAGTGCCCTACCGACTGAGCTACAGGTGCCGCCAAGAACAGACACATTTTAATGAACAACTCTACAAGGCAAATCAGATGAGGAAATGTAGGCTCAGAATCCCAGCTGCCCATCTGGCAGAGGTTGGGGCTTAAGAGACCTGGTCCCTTCTCTGCCTGACATTGGGCAAGTCACTTCCCCTTCTCTGAGCCCCAGGTTCCTTACCTTGCCACCTCTAAGGGGGTTGTGCCTGGGGAACTCTGACCCATTCCCTTTCTGGGGCTGCCTGAGGAAGAGGCTGTGCTCTTCTCTCTAGGGGTTGGCAGGATGGGCTTGAATCCTAACTAGCCTTTAAGATCCAGCCAAAGGGACTGCCTAAGAGGGTCCAGGTTAGAGGTAGCTGGCCCCTGGGTGTAGCCACAGACATTTGCTCTCCTCGACCCATCACTGTCTCTGTTTACCCTTGAACTTGGTCTCCTTGTTGTGCCCTAGTGTTTTAGTGCTAGCAGCTCCCCTGTGGTAGCACTGGCTGTAGATAGAGCCCTTTGCTGCAGTCTCACTGAGTCCTCTGCAGAGGTGGAGAGGATTATCCCTATTGTACAGGTGGTTCAAGAGGTCAACTGACTTCCTCTTGATCCTTATCCTCCTGTGCTTGTCCGTGTGCCACCACTGCTCTGCAGGCTCAGCCCATCCACAGGCTGACTTTCCTCTGGGCAGGTGTTGGGAGGCACCCCTAGGTACACATTTTGCTGCTTAGGGACCCTGGAAGCAAAGGATAAGGGTGAGGGAGAGTGAGAAAAGGGAGAGGGTTGTGTGTGTGTGTCTAGTGATGAGGGTAAGTGGGCTTAGCCAGGCATTGGCCTCAATTCCAGCAAATCCTGGGGTAAGATGTGTGTGGAGGATGAAGATGTGTGTAGGGGAATGGAGCTGAGGCAGCCTAGTACACGGCTTTGGAGTCAGACAGATCTGGGTGCAAATCCTGGCTCTGCCCTTTGTGTGACCTTGGGAATGCTAGTTAATCTTCCTGAGTCTCCACTTGTGTGCCAAGGGAGATTGCCAATGCTGACTTTGCAGGACTGTTAATGCGCATGTGCTAGGCCCAGCACAGGTGTCAGTTCAAGGTCCTTCCCAGGTAGTGAGGTTCTTCCTGGTGTATTCTGGTGGGGAGGTGGGTGTGGCTAGGGAGGCAAGTGATTTGGTCTTTTTTTAGTGACAGAGTGGGGCTAGATTGATCCCTAGAATCTAGGATTTCACTAGTTGAGAGGAATAGGAAAAGGAATATTTGAGAGAGATCTTCAGAGGCATGAGCAGGGAGGTGTTTGGATCTAAGTGTGGGTAGGGGCAGAGGAGTGTTCATTCAGGATCCTCAAACCAAGGAGGAATGCTTCTGAAATCAGTCCAGGAAGACTTCTTGGAGGCAGCAGTAGTGGAGGGAGGGGAATTGACAGCAGGAAGAGCTGTCACTGTCTCTCGACACCTGTCAGCCCAGCTGTGCTAAGCAGCGGTTAGAAGTCTCAGCCCTGCCAAGCATGACCTCACCACCAAGTGTTGAAATAGGCCTCTCTGGCTAGGTGCCTGTAGCACAGTGGTTACTGCACCAGCCACATACACTGAGGGTGGTGGGTTCAAACCCAGCTTAGGGCCAGCTAAACAACTGCAACAAACAAATAGCCGGGCATTGTGGTAGGTGCCTATAGTCAGTCCCAGCTACTCAGGAGGCTGAGTCAAGAGAATTGCTTAAGCCCAAGAGTTGAAGTTGCTGTAAGCTGTGATGCTACAGCACTCTACTGAGGGCGACATAGTGAGACTCTATCTCAAAAAAAATAAATTAAAATAAATTAAAAAAAATGAAATAGGCCTCTCTGCCCAAGCCAGGGTAGGGGTGTCTGGGGGATGGGGAAGGAGGGGAAGGGGTTCAACAATGTCCAGAGGGGGTGTCAAGGAACAGCTAAGATTGTATTTTAGGGAAAGGACTCTGCACTCTCTGAATACCTAGTGTGTGCTGAGTAACCTTGAATCTTTACAATAAATAGTTCCTTGAGGTAGGTATTTTCTGCCCCATTTTATAGAAGAGAAAACTGAGGCTCCTAGATGTGAAGCATTTCCCTAGGTCCCAGAGTGAGCTAGCAGAGGAGGTGCATCCAAGCCCAGTCCCTGACCTATGCCCTAGTGCCCCAGCCCTGCCCTGCCCTCACCGGGAGAGAGGCCCTTTCCGGGCCAGTGCAGCTCTGGGCCTAATTGGGGCCGGGTGGTGATGGGTGGAGAGAAGCAGATGGGTCTGTGGTTTGATTTCCCCAGCAGGTGTTTCCCAAGCTTGGCGGGAACAGGGAGGGGGAGGGGGGCCTCAGCTGCTTGTCCTTAAGACACAGGGGAAGGATTCATTGTCTGCCCCACTCAGCATAGAGGCATAGAAAGAATGGCAAATGGAGTCTATTCAGGAGGCCCTGGGGCCCTTGAGCTGGAGCCCAAACACGGGAGTGGGGGATGTTTGCACTGCTTCCCAATGTGGGCACCTCCCTGGAGTGTGGCACTGAGCCAGGAAGTCCCCTGAGTCTGGGTGGATGCCCAGCCCCACCCTGATAAGGGCCAGCTGTGGGGCTGTGATGGGCACAGGTCTGGCTGGGCCGCTGCTTCAGGAGGGAGCCTTTCCCCAGCCTGATGTGGTTTAGGCCCCACCCACTACTGCTTCCTCCCCATATCCTCCTGCAGACTTGGGGGATGGGGAGCCTTGTAAAGGCAGCTTGGGAGCCTGTTGTTAAGGAACCCTTAGCCTTTGGCCAGAATGGTTTTGGTACAGTCTCAAATGCCTGGGCTTCGGACCATGAGAGGGTTTTTGGAGTTTGTTTTTTTGAGACAGTCTCGTTTTGTTATTAGGCTGGGGTGCAGGATCACGATCTTAGCTCACTGTACCCTCGAACTCCTGGTCTCGAGTGATCCTTCCACCTCAGCCTCCTGAGTAGCTGAGACTAGAGGCATGAGCCACTACACCCAGATCAAGTTTTCTTTGCCCCTCAGAAAGTAGGACTTCCTCCCCCTCTTCTCAGGTCACTGATATTTCCTTACCAAGTACAAGCAGCATTGCACTAGGACTGGCAATAAACTGAAGCACAGGTGGCTGTCAGGGGCCTCAGTGCTTTGGTCCCAGATCAGGGAAAGGAAGAATGATTCTCAAATTCTGCCTCTCTCTCCCTTCTTTCTCTCAGGCCAAAAGGAAGCTGGATCTAGAGGGGATTGGGAGGCCTGCAATTCCTGAATTCCGAACTCCCAAGGGCAAGTGCATCAGAATGGATGGCCTTCCTAGCCCTAAAAGTAAGCAGTGCTGATGATGCATCTGGGGGTGGGAGTTAGGGTAGAAGGGAGCAGCCCTGCCCAAGCCATTAGGAGTAATATTTGTATGACTTCCTGGTTTATAAGCTTCCTAGGCATCCTCTCACTTAATCCTTTCAGGTAAGTAGGACTGTCCCCATTTTACAGATGAGGCAACTTAAGGCTCAGCCTGAGTGAGTTGCCCAGTCTCACAGCTAGTAAGCAGAATCCAGCACCAAATACTGCCTTATGCGTCTTGCACTACTACCACGGGGTACACTGCTCTCATCATCTCAGCGTGATGGCTAGTGTTCTGTTTATGAGCTTACTGGTTTTAAAAAGTTTTCACATTTAGGGTGGGGTGCAGTGGCTCATACCTCTAATCCTCAGGGAGGCCAAGGTGGGTGGCTTGCTTGGCCTTAGGAATTTGAGATCAGCCTGAGCTAGAGCAGGACCCTGTCTCTATGAAAAACTGAAAAAACTAGCCAAGCATGATGATGCGCTCCTGTAGTCCCAGATACTCAGGAGGCTGAGGCAAGAGGATTGCTTAAGCCCTTAGAGTTTGTGGTTCCTGTGAGCTATGATGACGCCATGGCACTCTACCTAGGGCAATAGAGACTCTGTTTCAAAAAAAAGAAAAAGTTTTCACATGTAGTTCAGTGTGAACTTTTCTAAAAGACAAAATCCAGCTCAGAGGAGCAGGGGCTAACCCGGGGCTTTCTCCCTCGTGCAGGTAGAGCTAAATAAGTGATTCAAAGGGAAGTGAAGCTTGAGTTAATCCAGACTATGCCACCTCAGAGGTGTTTAAGATCCAGAGGCTGGGCTCGGCGCCTATAGCTCAACCGGCTAAGGCGCCAGCCACGTACACCTAAGGTGGCGGGTTCGAATCCCCAGCCC